TGATAAAAACTTCAATTCTCCTGGGTTTTCTTGGAACAATACTGCAATGGGAGAGAGAAAGAGATTTGGATAGATCATGTATTGCGTTGTGGTGAGAAAAGAATTTAGAAATATTTTATTTATTTTATTGTTAAATATGAAATCCACCAAAAACAGAAGTGAAAGTCACGTATTTGTTTCCTCATCTTTTAGGCAACAAAATAAATTAAAATCCATTCTAACCGAAATTCCCTAAAATCAAGGATATATTGAATAACAAGAGATTTTGTTGTATTTTAGAATACACTAAACAAATGATTAATTCAATAACACGGGATTCACTCTGATTTTAAAATACAATAAAAACACTAATCCAATAACACTTCCTAAGTAACTAAGATTAATGTATGCATTTTGAAGGAAAAAAATCAACAAATTTTCTCGAAAATGCCGTGCCGTTTAACAAACACTTTGTAGACTCGCGTGCCGTTCTCTTAAACAAAAAACGACAATGTCAAAAGGACAAGCGTATCGTATAAGCCAGTAAAGAAGGTCCACCCGAAGGATGTGGCTATGAAAAACAGAAGATAACTGACACCGACCTTCAAATCCCGTTTCCGATTGGGTGCTTGCCCCAAAACTTCACTCTTCTTCTTCAACCTCTTGACCATTCCCAAACCGAGAAGAAGCTATGGCCTCACCGATTTTTGACGCTGAGTACTTGAAGGAGATCAACAAAGCTCGCCGTGACCTCCGTTCTCTCATCGCCAACAAGAACTGTGCTCCGATCATGCTCCGATTGGCGTAAGTCTCAATTTCTATGGTTCTTCTTTGGAGAAAAAAAAAAATTACAATCGCTCTCGATCTCGTTCGTTTTTTTGAATTGTTGAAATGTTTGTGAAGATGGCACGATGCTGGAACCTATGATGCACAATCGAAGACTGGTGGACCTAATGGCTCTATTAGGAACGAAGAGGAGTACACTCATGGTGCCAATAGTGGTTTGAAAATCGCTCTCGATCTCTGTGGTGTGTGTTTTTCTTTTCCCTCGCGTTATTGGATTTTGGGATTTGAAGATTCTGTGTTCTTTGTTTCCCATAACTGTTCAATTCTTAAGTGACGAGAATCAGTGTGTACTGTTAGGTTTTAAGGATAAGTTGAATTGTTAGTCATTGGGTTAGATTGCTCGTGAATTTTGGATAGCTAGAGTTCTTTGTGTTCTCATGTTGTTTTTTTTTTTTGAAATGGACTTTGAATTGTTTGGTAAAGAGATGTTTTCTTTGATGTTTCAGAGGGCGTGAAGGCTAAACATCCCAAAATCACTTATGCGGACCTTTACCAGGTGATTACAAGTTATAGCTTAAAGTATCAATGAGATTAAGGAATTCCCTAATTTATCCGTCTTTATTAGTTTTTTTATCGGTGATATGATTGCTACATGTCCTCGTTACGTTACTGCTTTCTTTTTTCAAAGGTACTGTGTGTGTGTGTGTCTGCTTATGTTCTCATAGAGTTATCCCAGGTTTAAGCTTGTTTGGTAGACTTGACTGACAGTTGAGCTTTGTATTTATGGTCTCAGTTTGTTGCAACCGAGGAATGGAAATTTGTTCCAGGAGATATTGCTAATTGTGATTTGGTTTACAAGAAAGATAGATGTTATCTCTTGTTCTTGTTCAAGTCAGACCTTTATCTCTTACAGTAGAAACTTAGTTCAAAACCAAGAAGAAACTTAACCTCAATCTATATCTATGTTAGGGAATATGCTTCATGATTGACCAGAAGAAATTCTATCTTACTTTATGCTTCCTGTAATTTGACATTTAGTTCTGAATTTAGGCTTTAGCAAGAGCTTGTTGTGTTAACTTTTCAGTTAGATTCTTAAATTGTAACCCATTTCTCTTATACTTAAGACTTGGACTTAATAGAATTCACATGTTTTGTCTCTTGCACCTTTTTTCACATTTTTTAGTACTGTTTGTATTCTCTTTTGTCTATTCATTTTTTATTTGTTCTTATAAGGTCAAGGATTTATATGTGAATGCCCAAATGTAGTGTGTCTCGGTTGGATTAATCGTGTGATAGCAATCAAGTTTTGGATCTGAATAATTAACTTAATCTTGTGTTTCAGCTTGCTGGTGTGGTAGCAGTGGAGGTTACTGGTGGACCTGACATCAGCTTCGTACCTGGGAGAAAAGTATGTTTTTTCTCATTCTTTGCGACATTATAAGTTATGCCAGTAGCAACTAACAATAATAACTGTTTGTTTCTTCCTCATAGGATTCGAATGTGTGCCCTAGGGAAGGACGACTTCCTGATGCGAAAAAAGGTGCAATAAATCTTTTATCGTTTATAACAAACTTTGAATTTTTCTGCAAAAGCTCTAATCATAGAATTGAAAGATCTGCTTAATGAATTTATCCTGTTTATTTTTCCGTAGGTTTCCAACATCTTAGAGATGTCTTCTACCGAATGGGACTATCTGACAAGGATATTGTGGCACTCTCAGGAGGCCATACGCTGGTAAATCCACTGGCTATGTATTTAACCTCGTGTTTTCTAACAAGAAAAAAGTATATATGTGCTAATGACCACTTTTGGGGGTGTATAGGGAAGGGCTCATCCAGAGAGGTCAGGCTTCGATGGACCATGGACCCAAGAGCCTCTGAAGTTTGATAACTCCTACTTTGTGTAAGTTCCGTTTCTTTATCCTCAGAGATTGAAGTC